AAAAAAAAAAAAAAAACATAAAATTAAAATTAAAAAAAAAAAGACAATCTTGGGGACTTTGGCAGGTCCCATCCTAGGATCACTGACAACTCTAATGTTATTGCTTCTGGTAGGGCCTTGTCTCATAAGATCACATGTATATGCCCAGGAAAGATTTCCCAGGGAAACTAAAAGAGGGGGAGATGTAGCAGAAGATGCCCTCCCCAGCAATTATACTTGTTTGTTAGTTGCCCAGGTAATAGTTCCAGTTCCAGTTCCTATTACTTTTGTTTCTTAGAAACAGCTGGTCACTGTGAAGCATAGCTGGTCACTTTGATGCATATTATAGGAACCAGTCCACAAATGATAAGCCATGCTGCCTCTGTACTTCCTGCTTACTTATCCTATATAAGCCCTAGACCACCAGAGATCAGGGCCTGCTATTTTGGGAGTGATCCTGATCAGTGTCCATCGACATAAATAAATCTATGACCAAATCCTGGGTGTCATTTTGATGCTTCTGTTTACCATTGCAATAGATAGACATGAGGATGGGCCATTACCCAGCAGGTCTCCTGAGAGGTTCACTGGCAGGATGATGCACAGGGACAATGCACTGACCACCACCAGCAAGAAGATGAGGTGCCTCTGGAAGGACAGGTAGTGTATGGCGTCTTCCCCACACCATTCCAGGATCTGGTCATCACTGGCCAAGATATATAGAAGAAATTATTGTAACAAGTGAAACTGTCTGATCTAACCCTCACAGGAACCTAGGAGACGGTGTGCTATCATTCCTCCTTTTTAAATTTTTTTTTAAAAAACAAAGGTCCAGAAAGATTGCCCATGCCCTTGGTCCCTATACCACACTGGAGGCTCAGGAATGGCCACTTGCTACCTTATGGCACTGGCTACATCTGTGCCCACCACACATTACGGCTACATGGAGATGGGCATCTCACACCCTTTCTACTTCTATGGGAAGATGGCAGGGAACTGCCTTTGGAATGCAGCTGCAGTATACATAGGCCTGTGGCCACCTTCTTTCCATTTCCCCTGCAGGTGAGCCCACGCTCTAGTCATTCCAGTGTCACTGTACTTGACTGCTCCTGCTTCCTTCCTGGTCATTGTCATGGCCCCAGAGATGGGAGGTGGTCTGCTTCATACTTTCTACCTATGAAGTGCTGTGTGAGCAAGTGCTGGGTCCACTGGGATGTGGATACTCCAGTCTCACACAGCCAGACTCATTTGCTAGAGGGTAAGGGGCTATGTTCCACCCTTTGCACATGTGGCTTCCCAAAGGGCAGCAGTGCTGCCATGGAAGGGCTGGGACATGAGGGCAGCCCCTTCTCTTGCCTCTGTACCGAGCAGGGACACTGCCCACCTCCTTCATTGTCTAGCAGGCTGAAGGAGTGAGCATCAGGCACCCAATGTTGTGCCTGGCACTGAAGAGGCTCAGAAATGTGCTTGGGAATATCCGTCTGCCTGCTACTTCTCTCCAGGACATAGCTGTGCAGTGAACAGCATCTTCTCACTTAAATTATCCACCCCTTCTTCTGTGTCCTTGACAGCCACTTTTATTCTCGGTCTCTACATAATGCCTAAGGAGCAGGCATCTTGGCTCCGTTCTGAATGCCCAAGTGTCTGGACAAGACACCCCAACTGAAGCCACCCACCCCCACCCACTGCCCCAGGTACTCACTGCAGACGGAAGATGGCCATCAGCCAGGGGCAGCATCCCTGGAGACAGAGGGGCATTAGCATCCAGTAGCTGGGGCTTTGGAGGCAGAGGGCTTTGAAATTAAGTAACCACTAGCCTCCTTCTACATAAACACAGCATTTCTGTCCTTTATCAGCAAGCTACCACTTGTCCAGATATCACAGCTTGTTGCCCCTGGGCCTTGGTCAGGTGTACCCCATGCTTGAATCTTTCACTGAATCTCCACATTCTAAGAATTTGAGGCTTCCAATCATGAAACTAGGATCAAGAGTTGGTGAAGCCCAATGTGCTCTGGAGAAAGGGATGTGAGCTTCTGTTCCATTGTTTCTAAGAGACCAGACTGGAGGTGGGATAAGGAGAGGAAACAAGCTTAATCAATTGGATGCTACCTTGCAGTGGGTTTAGTGAAGTAAAAGGGTGGGTGTAGATTTTATTGACCTTCACATCTGTTAAACTTTCTACTCTCTAAAGCTGACATGTTACCCAGTTGGGAAAGAAATATCTATTCATCATTCTAATACTTCAGTTTGAATCTAACAATGACTAAGCACCTACTGGGTATCTGGTGCTGGGGAGCGGGCTGACTAAGCCAGGTTACAACAGATAGGCCAAGGCAAAGTCACAAGTATATGACACGGACATAGGGGAGGCTGTGGTCTGCCAGCACTCTCTGCCTATGAGTCCTCAAGTCTCTGAGCACTGTGCAGTCAGGCTGTGTCTCTCCTGGGTGCTTGTCATGTGCAGGTGCCTTTGTTGATGTGGAGGGCAGCACTGACCAGCTCTGGGCACTCCATAGCCACAGGGTACACCCCAAACCACCAACCACTACCCGAGCCCAGCTTGGCCACAACCCCACTGTCCCTTGTTACCAACCAGCTCATTTTCAAAGTCCTGCTGCTCTGAGGAGGAAGCTGACGGCAATCTCTGGAATTTGGACTTACTAGAGACACAAAACAAAAAAAATGACAGACGATTCTAAAAAAAAAGGAGTTGAAAAAAATTAGTCCAATATTTTGCTTCCTAATCTACAACTCAGGACCAAATTTATCAAGTCTCAGTGGGTGGGACAGAAAGAAAGAAACCCAAAGTACAAGTAACTGAAAGAGTAGAACACGAGCCATATGGCAGGAAAAGGTAAACTATTTGAGAGATGGGAAGGGGGTTTGGCAGCGAGGGGAGACAGAAGAGAGGGAAGGGGAATAAAAAGATGAAAATGTCATATTTATGTGGACCAATTCCTCATGATGAGTGTTTTTACGTATCACAGACATATATACTGACAAAGAATAAGAAAACTAAAGAGTAAATATAAAAATAAGCTTTTAACTATGTAAGAAATTGTTATTTGTTTTATTATTGAGTTGGAAGTGTTTTTTTTGTTGTTGTTTTTGTTGTTGTTTTTTAAGACAGTATCTCACTATGTGGTTCAGGCTGGCCTTGAACTTGCTGTGTAGTCCAGGCTGTGCTTAAACTCACTGAAATCCTCCTGCCTCTGTCTCCTGAATGCTGAAATTACAGGCCTGCATCACCACACCCTGCTGCAAGATTTATTTTTTTTTTCTTGTGTTGTGAAAATTTTCTTTCATCTTGTGGTTTGCATTTTGTTGTTGTTGTTGTTGTTGGTTTTGGGTTTTTTGAGACAGGGTCTTGCTATGTAGTTCAGGCTAGTCCTGTACTTACTATGTAGCCCAGACTGGCCTCAAACTCAAGGCGATCCTCCTGCCTCAGCCTCTAGAATCCTGTGATTAACAGTGTGTACCACAACATCTAGCCTTTTTCTTTCTTTTTTTTATTAGTGTCTTTCAAAGAACAAAAGTTTAAGTGTTGATAAGGTCCAACTTATCAATTTTTTTTCAAATTTAAACATTTTTTAAAAATAAATTGCTTTGGCTAGGGATTTAGCTCAGCGGCACAGCGCCTGCCTGGCAAGAGCAAGGTCACGAGTTTGATTCCTGGTACCAGAAGAAAAAGCAAACAAACAAACAAACAAAAAACCAAATAAAATAAATTGCTTTATAAGAGAGACCAGAGTGGAGTAAAACTGCCTCACAGGACAGCACCAAGTCCAAACACATCAGAAAACACTTGAAGAGTGAAACCCTTGGCCTCTGGACTGGGACTAGGCCAGATCCGGTGACTTCAAAACAAGGCTTGTTCACAGCATATTTCTTAACATAGTAAGTCAAAATGGGACAAAGACTGTATTTTATCTTAAAGTGGTGACCACGGATAGGGAACAAGTTTGGATTTCAGCAAAGGAGTCTGAGAAATGGCTCCTATATCCAAGGAAGGTGGCCCACCTGCAAATCACCCTCTCCTGAACCATACGACGGAGATGAAAAATAATAATACAAGACACTCTCCAGGCCCTGTGAAACGGGTAAGTCCACTTTTAAAAATCCTGTATTTTATCAAGCCTAAGACACCACTGGTTGCCAGGCACACAATTATTTTATGAAGCACTGAGAAGAAAACAATGCCGTCAATTAAAATACGACCACCACTGATGATAAGATGAACCCCACTTCAGAGATAAAGACATGGCAGAACCCTCATTTGTGAGCTGATGCACTGTGGCACTTTCAACAGTGGCACTTTAACCAGATCCTTTCCTTTGAACACCCCATAAAAGCAACTTGTGAACTGAGGGGTCTGTGCTATGCAAGTTTTGCTTTTCTCCTAGCTCTGGCTCCGCCATTCTTCTCGCAACAGCGTAAAACAGGAGGAATCATGACTTCTGAAGCATTACACACAGGTGCAAGCCACACCAAAGGCAGGTGAGCCTGGAGCCTGACCAGGGCCACAGGGCCTCCTGGGCCCCACAAGCCTTATCCCATTGCAGAGTGTACCCCACTTGGCTGGTGGCATCAGAAAACATCGGATGTTATTTGTCCCAACAGGTATATACCGTGGTCCAAGGTCATAGCCCCAGGGTTCTGCAAATGTCAGACCAGAGAGCTCTGCCCAGCCAGTGATTCCAGGTCAAGCCTGAGA